CGAAAAGGGAAGTATTTCCCTCGATTCCGTCCATCTGGGTACGCGGGTGTGAAACCGACGCGGCGCCTCGCAGACATCTGTTTAAAGTTTACAACCCCGCGCGCGCGCGTGGATGGCGTTCTTGTTTTATCCATATTCTGCGACGCTTCTTGCATTTGCATTTTACAAAGTCCCTTCGCACGAGCACCTCGCTCCTTCTCGCCTTGGGCGGCAGAAGTGTATATATCTACACCTTGAAGGCTCGCGCTACACTAACAAAAAGCATCATGTTGCTAACGGAAATTCAACAAAAGTGATGTCCTTGTCTTGTTTTAGAATGCATAAGGCTGCCTCTGCACAAAGCCTGCGGGCGTCAAGCCCGTCAGTGTCTATTTCACTGATAAACCTTGTTTGCAAATTGAAAGTGTTCAACTCGATAGCTGTGCTCTTCCAAGTGTGGAACTCCTATATCGAGCACTTCCTTATATTGTACACTTACTCATTAGGAAGTATTCAACAGAAGAGGTGCACACTTACAATTACAAATCTCCCGATCCAAACCAAACACTTGGGAACTATTACGCAATAACACTTGCAAGCGGTATTCATTGTATTCAACTTGCAGCTATACAGACTTGGTGTGTTTAACTACAGTGTTTGAACTCCTCGTTCATTTCGCGCTTTCTTTTTAATTTCAATTATTCCGCCCGTGCGGTAATCTTGAACGGAAGAAACGTCCCGCGGCGGGTGGCGGTGCGGCGGGACACCAAAGATAGCGGGGCGTGCGCTGCGGGCCGAAAGTTTTGCATGAGATGGACGATGTAGCCGGAGCCAAGTGTCACCTTGCTCGGACGCTGCTCCGCCGCCGTCTGGCCGCCCGCCCAGTATATATTTCGCTTATCAGGGCGGGCCGGCGGGCGGGCGGGTGGGACAGAGAGGGACGCCGGGCCTCCAGATAACACGCAGCAGCAGCTGAACCCCGCGGAGGACCTCTGCACCGCGGCGCCAGCGCCATCTAGCCGAGCGGCAGCGGTGGAGCGGGCGGCGGCCAGGCGACAAACGAGCTGCTCTGCCTGCTTTGCTCTCAAAAGGGGAGAGGTGGTATGGGGTACTGCGGCTGCGGCTCACTCAGTTTTTTTCCCCCACGGAGACTCGTTATATGCAGCTGGGAAGTCAAACGTTGAAAGTACCTCCGTTTCTAGCGTATGGTACAAGGATGTGCGGCTCGCGCGCGCTGAACTTCCTCGTAGAAAAAAAAAAGACTTGTCTCCAACTTTATTTCCTTTTTCGAAACAAAATGCAGAGTCGCGGTCGCAGATCGGTGCGGCGCGGGACGGGGTGGTGGGCAGGAGGTGGGAGGCGGTCGGCACCGTCCCTCCCTTCACCCCGTCCCATCCCTCTGCCGTGGCCTTGGGATGCCTGCTGGGCCGCTAAGAGGGGTGGGGGGGGGGGGGCACGAGGGAGCCAGCCCAAGTGCAGACAGACACACAATATCTCAAGTTGGGGGTTACTGATGAACGCAAATTTGCTCGTGTATCCCCCCCCCCCTCCCTCTGCTGCTCCACCGGAAGTAGCGGGGCGTGGTGGGGTGGAAATGGAGCCGTGAAGATGATTGCACAGGTCGGGGGGGAAGGGGGGGCGTTAAGTAAGGTCAGGGAGTCACGGCAGGGTTGGCAAGGGCTGTTTGTGCACAGTCTGATGTTACGGTGGTGAACATACCTTCCGACAATTACTTACCTGTACATGAGTGCAATTCACGTAAACTTCTCCCTTTCTTTCCGACGCATATGATGTGTGCATCGTTTCTCTCCAAAGCCACACCACGTCCGCCGTTGGTTCCTAGCCCTTGCTGCGCCCCCTCTCCCTCTTTCCCCTATACTCCTGCCCGCCTCTCTTCCTGGCGCAGAGCTTCGTTCGGGCGCATCAGTGTGGCGGAAGTGAACTTTGCTGTGGGTACCCAGCCCAAACCCTTTCAGCTCCGCCGGCCCCGCCACGCCCCGCCACGCCCCGCCACGCCAGGCCTCGCCACGCCCCGCCAGCAGACCCACACGCGTACCAGTGGCACAAAGGGCCCCCCAGTCCCCCTCCTGTGACTTGTGACATCGCCCCCCCCCCCTCTCCTCCCCATCTCTCTCTTCCTCTTTGCCACCGCCAAACTCCCCTTTCGCACACGATGCCACGCCATCCTGACTCTACAACGATATAAGGATGGAAGGGTAAAGGGTCCGAATCCATTAGAGAGCATAAAAGACGCATACACTCACGGCTCCCCCCTCCCTCCCCCTCCCCCTCTCCTCACTTCCGTTTGACTCCCTCAGACCCGTTTGTCTCACTTCCGTGCGCACTCACTCTCTCGCGCGCACACACTCACCGACAGACAGACGGGCGAACAGGCGAGCATTATAACCGAGTGCCAAGGAAAGGAGAAAAAAAAACGTCCAGAATGCGCCGCCTCTTTTCCTCCCACCGTCTCCATGTCTCACTCTCTCTTTCCATCTCTTCCTCCCCCCAAGAGGGAAAAAAAACAGTCTGAACCAGGACCAGGGCCAAGCTTACAACTCGAACCCCGCGCAGCCAGCGGAACGAGCCAATTCTCTTTCTACCTTCCCCCCCC